AAGACCTGTTTTAATCCTTCCACTCGGCAACGACTATATATATATATATATATATAAATATAAAACATATATATATATATATATATAAAACATATTTATAGATATATATAAAACACAAATTTCCAATTTTTTTTTAGTACAAGTCTTTATAACTGTTACATTTGTTTCCCATTTTTTCCTTTTATAGCTTTATCACTTTATTGAAGATATAACACTAGAGGAAATAAAATATCTTACCTTTTATAAAGTTCTTCGGCTTCTCTGTTGTTCTTTAGTGATCGTAAACTTCTTGCAGCATTCACTATAGCAACAGTGTGATTAGGCTGTAGACGCATAGCCTGCCGGTATTGTTGAATGGCTTCTTCAACACGTCCTGCAAAACATATTTTGTTCCATTATATTGTGAACTGAGGAAATATTCCATAGAAAACGGTAAATCAATAGTCTACCAATAAATTCAGCTACTAATTTTCCTTTTATTTTCTGTGGATGTTTTTTTGGCTTTAATTACTGTGTATTTAATAGAGAGTAAAAAATGTTTGATATTATATAATGAAAGAACTATTATAATATTGGAAATTATACTAAAATTAACAAACAGATTTTGAACTCTAAAAAGAATACTCTTTTTTAACTGCGTAGTAGCTTTTCCCCTGAATTTGTTCTGTTTTTTCATATATATATATATATATGTGTGTGTGTGCGTGTGTGTGTGTATGCATGTAAAATACGGATCATACTTATATATACACACTGGATCATATACAAAAGTATTTTATTGAGTGAAAAAGCAAAAGCGTTTGTAAAGTCTGTTGAATCACTACTGAGGAAAACTAGATTAAAAATATCAAAACCGGTTTGACAGTCCAGCTAAGCTTGAAGGTATTTCGAATAACCTCTCGCCTTATACCTTTTCTTTCTCCTTTTTTGGCAATCAAGTTACTTTTGAAGTTTTTTTTAATCCTCTCTCAAATTATCAAAAGTAATTTGTCAGAATTTGATAGCGCGTTGACATTCAAATTTTGTATTGATGCTAGAATTAAAAAAAAAAAAACGTATTTGTTAAGAGTGACATTTACGGAACACTCTGAATGGAATTTATATTTTTTTGCACAAAAAAAGCAATTTTGGATTTTAAAATAGCAAAAAAATACATTTTAATTTAAATCTAGCCTTTATTCCATTATTTGTTTTAATTTCATACGCGAAGTAAGCAACAAAAACTACTTAAGGTCGTTAATTGGGTAAACAAATAAAAATCTCTCTAAAAATTACAAATAAATTGCTTTAGATAATCTTGTAGTTAATCTTGTTATTAACATAACCTTGCTTCATTAAACAAATCAACGTATAGGCTTAACTATACGACTCAATAATTATAGTAGAGTATATTTCTTAGGCACTGTAGAGAGTTCTTTTGCTTTTCTCTTCGTGTTCTTTGATTTAATGAGTTTTGGATCTATGTCGCCATGATACATGGATAGTCTTAGAGAAATCTTACGCATCGAAGCTTATTCCGGCGGCACGTTTTCTCTTCATTGCATCTCTAAAGCTATAAAGAACTTATAGCCTAAGCTGTAAGTACTTGACCACTATTGTAAGGTATCGTAGCGTAAAGAAAGCAAGAAAAAGTATAAACTAACGTTCACTGGACGGAAACTTTTGAGTAAATTTATTGAATTGCTCTTTATACGTTCGTAAATTTAGCAACAAAATTGCCTGTACTTGATTAAGATTTATTTGGTTCGTAAAAGTACATACTATGCGTGTAAAAAGCAATAAATAATAACGTAATAAATGTAGATTTAATGTTAATATTTATATAAGCAAAGTGTTTCGTAATCACTAACTCCACATATATGTTTTTAACTATTTCAGTTAAAATGAAGTTACAACTGTATTTAATGAAACTACAATATTCAAGAAGCAATATTAATTAATTTATAAGCAATATTAATTCTGTAATTTTATTAATTATGAAATGGCAGAAAATACATAAGGTAAAATGTTATTATAAACTAACAATCCAATGTTGAAACCAATCATAGTTAAAGCCTGATTAGTAATTAGTAAAATAAGTTTGATTTTTTTTTTGTTTTGTTTCATAAACGTCGTTGAACAGTTGATTGAGTTTTGACTACCGATGTTCATCTTAGTAGTCTTGTAATTCTGCACCAAATCTAGAAGACAAGGAAACTTTTGAATCACGTATTGCGAGAAATTCACCTTCGTGGAGGACTTTATGAGGGAACTAACCCGCATTTACTTCACATGGAGAGAAAACCACGAAAACCTCCAAATTGTTAGCTTGACGGTAAGGGGATTCCAACCCATGATCCTTCTACCTTTCATTATATTTATGTCAGCACTGGGATCGGTGCAAGCCGATTGCGGAATTCGTATTGACCAATTATCGCTGGGATTCGAATCCGGGTCGCCTGCCAATAAGATGATTCGGGTTAAACGCTCTATCCTCAGAGTCACCGTGACTCTTTCCATTATCTTTTAATGTCATTCAATTTACAAACCGGTTTTATTATTTTTAATTCTATCTCCCATCAATCTGACTCAAATAATGATTTGTAATTTTTTTAAGAAACCATGTTTTCTCCTAATATTTAAATATTTAAATACTCACTTTTTTTTCTTTTGTAACTTAAAATATGTCTTCAAGATGTATTTACTTCGGTAGTACCGAAACCTTTAACTATCTATCAGGTAAACAATCTTTCAGTACGCATGCCTTTTATAGTTACATCAAAAGGACGAATGTTTTTTCTAAATAAGCTTGCATAAATTGTAATGCTAGAGTAAAATGTTAACACTTTACAGTCTGATGTACCCTCTGATGGGATGTCAAAAGTCACCTCTTTGCACTAAGAAAAAATTTAGCGCCAAAACTACCAGAATAGGAAAAAAATTACCGTGTTTCCAGATCTATTAGGAACAACAACAAATTTTGTAATTAAGTAGTAAGCTACCACAGTAAAAATAAGTTACAAAAAACTAACTATGAAGATTATAGTTGGCTATTTTTTTTCTCCTTCGTAAAATACAAGTAATATATATATATAGTATACATATATATATATAT